GGCCGCGACAGCCGCGTGCGGCGAATTGATTACCCAAAATCGTTCCTAACGCCCGTCTCCCCAGGATACTTGCTGCCGAATCTCTTCAGAGAGCTAGAAACCCTCCTGAGGAACTCTAGGACTATCACATTTCCGACGGTCAAATCAATATTTTTAGAATCTGGTCCAAACCGAGGTGCATCGTGAGAGCGGATTATTCGCCTACGTGTGGTGTGTACTGTTCGTGTTGCTGTTTCTTTGGCCATGTTCCCCATTGCCATGCTTCATGGAAGCTTTTTCGGACTTTGTGCACGTTTGCCCGGTTTGCTCACACAAAATCGGGCGTTATCGTCGATGTCGACGATCGCAATTCTATGTATAGTAGATTTGTTATGATATTCATAAATAGTTTATTATACTTCGTTATACTAGATTATTTCAAACATATCATTACGTTTCTTTTTCTCTGTTATACAATCCATAAAATGAGAACAGCATACGACGCATACACAAAGTATAATGGCTGACACGGACAGTACGAATAGAGCGGAGAAGAAGTAAAGTCCCTGTAGGGTCGATACGAATGTCGTCAGCCTTCCGCTATCCTAAACGATCAGATCTGGCCGGCCGTCACGAGGAAGACGATGTTAGACGAATTGCCCAAAACTCACATTCATTTTGTGCTTTAGCAAATCTCTGGAGACTTGGATATACGACGACTAACGTCATCCAGTTGTCATTTGTCTTCTGAAATATGCCCACTGCCTCGGAATGATAACAAATAAGGGCTGAAAAGAAAAGAGATCGTGTAGTGGAGTAGTAAAGAGAGATATTGATCAGCTACGGTAACATTTACTATTACGACATTTGTCACTTGTGAATATGATATTTAAACAGCGATACACGTCCAGTAGGATAGAAATGAGGAAGGAAACGGAGAAAGGAAGCGCCTTAGCAGCTTTTGCAGCCTTTGAGTTGAGAAGGGGAACGTATTCAGAGCGAGCAAGTCGTGATGAAGCCAATTACGAGTTTTTATGAAGTTAGAGTCACAACAGATCAATAGCCCTTACTAATTCCAATGCTACTATCTAAAAGACAAGGTCATTTGGAGTTAATCAATTCAGTCTGAGGAATGCGCACCCGCAGTCGACTCCCATTTGGAATCGTAGTAGAGTATTGAATGCGTATGTGGCCCAGACGTAAAATGGCTTGCGGTGGCTAGCCGCTATACAAGTCAATGCTTCTCCTCTCAGACGAATCTGGTACCAGTTAACCGACCCCGAAGACAAGGCTAAAAGGATTGCTTGATCTGGGTGGATGTTCGGGCTTCAAATCCGTGAGTATACGGGTGCGTTAATGCGCTGTTTGCCACTATACCACCTCGGCCAGAGATGGTATGAGCAGAGTTACTACTTCAATAAGTATTTTGGAATTAATTTTATTCACAAATCAATATTCATAGTTCAAATGCTCTACATAGGGTTTATTGAGGTAGAAGTTTCATTCAGAAAACAGTAGTGAGATAAATTTGGACCCAGGGCATACATCCGTATGATAACATAGAGCAGGGAGGAGTGCCGTTGCCGATCTTCTCATTAGCAAAGAAAGGATTTGAGATCGAATGGGTCGAAAGCTCGGAATAGAAATTCAACTCAGGAAGCACTTCAGAAGGAACAGTTCGCAAATTCAATCCTGATATGATCGACATCGTCACCAAACTGGCGAGTATTGATACAATTGTTTCTCCGGAGTAATGGAGTGGTCCATACCCATGAGAGACGACATTTAATTGGCATAGCATTATTAATAGCCACTTCGTAAGCAGCTGCATAAGTTAGCTATGCACATTTCTCAGCAAAAAAATGCTAATGCTTCTGCAGGCGCAGACGCCTGCATACATATAATGCTAGCGGGATTTCGTCCCAACGTCCAGAATAAAGAGTTAATTGGCACAACCGTGAACCACCGAAGTTTTAAGGAGATTCTCATGGAATGGAAAAAAATTGCATACATATGCAGTTGTTTCCTTGAAAAGGATATTGGCACTTTTGTGAAATGGTAAGAATGTAAGGCATGTAGTGACCAGTTCCGCTTACGTCTTTCTCTCCATGGTTGAGCCACTACCTCCTGTGTAATTCTTCGTTATAGTTCACTATTCTATGTCCGTTATGCTGCTCCAGGCTCCAAAATTAGTTTTTTTTATCGGATGGTACGCAATAAAACAGAAATGAGACTCCCAAGACCCAAAGTAGTGTATCTAGTGTAGGTAGTGTAGTGTATGCATATGGTCCATGAAATCGAACGGCGATATAGGAAATCCATGAACGGAAGATGAGTCGAATGCACTCACAAACAGAATCCACCTTTACAATTGCAACAGTTCCGACTGCAACGTCGCTTTGTACTTGGGGACCGACAGTTTTTTTGAATACCTTATTAAGTCAGGACTCAGCACCACATTTGGAACATCTCTCCAAGGAAATTCTAGCTTCTCTGAATGCAAGCAGGTAGAGCAGGTGGGAAGAAGTAGTGTTGAAAACCCTGAGCACCAGAAGAAGTTGCGTGGGACTAATGGTGAGAGGAAGGAGGAGAGGGAGACAATCATAGACTCTTCAGACAGCATAAGTGTTTGGACTGAGGATGAAGGCGAAAGGAAAGTTTTAGTGATTACTTTGCGGAAAAGCCTAAGGCCGTTGCGGACACATTAGAATTGGCACATAATCCGAATGATAAGTAAGACGAAGATATGAAACAATGAATGGGAATAACCTCGGCGTTGGTGAATTTCCTTGTCTTGAGATGTTTTAGATGGAACCATTTATTACTTGAGTGGCCTAAAAGTTCGTTCGTCGTCTTTAGAAGCCTAAACGCATTCCGAAATGATTTACCCAATATCGAACAAGCGTTTAATCCCCTCTAGCAGACCGACGGCATGTCTGAAATTTGTTTTAGAACTATCCATTCTATTGAAGGCTCTCCAGGGTTCCACCGCTGAAGCAAGTGGGTTCGAGGTGGCTGTTAGTAGCTAATGAGGCTTATTGATATATGGATATCCTGATGGACCTTGATTATTTAGAACCCTAAGATGTAGATCAATAAATCAATATTCTATCCAATTTGAGAGTATTCCCCTCCATTGATATGTATTTGCATACAAAGCTGTACAAGTCTTATCTCACACAAAAATCGGGTAATCTTTTTTTTCTGTCGCCAGTCAGCCGACTAATGGAACAAAATCTGAACGCCAATGAAGTGAGGGCTCCAACTGACAGAGCGTAAAAGTTCAGCATATAAAATACAATAAAAAACATAAAATATATAATTAAAATATATAATAAAATATAAAAGTTAGAATATGATTGAAGCCAGAAAAGAGATATTGAAAGAAAATCAGGAATTGTGGGATGAGCTGATGGGAAAGTCCAAGAAATCATCAATTGCTTTTGCTCAACCATCTGGTTGGAATGAGCTGATGTTGGGATTCTTACACTGTTCAGCAGCCCGAATATGTTATTTCAGCGCTAACTCAATGATGGTTGTAGCTAGCTTAAAATATAGCCACCTATTTCCATTAGAAAGCATCATAGCAACCATAAATAGTTCTAACTAACACTCTGTTCACAATCTTCTACCGCAAAGGAAGTCTTCGAATTAAGTATAAATCATTCACATCTACCATCCACTTTTCCGAGAATAATTTACAAAGAGAGAGAGATATCGGACGAAAAGAGATCATCCATTTAGTGGTAAAGAACAACGTCCTACTGGCCCAAGTATAGTTGATGACTAATTTGTGAGTGTCGATAATTCTCCAGGAGGGTGAGTCCATCAGACAACACAAGCCTTTTTTCACAAAAAAACGCTGCTTTTTTTCAAATCAGAGTGAAAAATATTGGAAAATCGGTAAACCTATGAACTGGTTTTGGTAGATATGGTTTTTTTATGCATGCGCATAAGTCTTTGGTGACACTTTTAAGACGCAGGTCACTATAAGGATGGATTCTGAGATTTCCGTCTGCGATGGAGCT